ATCTAAATGACATATTGAGAAAATGGCAAACCTTGATTGTCCAGTATATAGATATCTTCTGGAATACCATTAATGGGAAACATAAACGACGGATTCACAGGTTGACCACCAATTTGCAGACAATACTTGGAAAATTCGTTTTGAGGTATTTTATGATAAGTTAAAAATCGGGAAATAAATTTTGAATATGTACTGTTTGTAAGATAGCGAAATTGAGTTCGACGCCCCTTCCAAACGATCTTATATGTAAATTTTCTTCTCAGTAGAAGCCTAGCATTACTGCTACATTGAGAGCACAGTGACTCAAACTGATTAATGTTTCTAGAGTCTTGGTAGAAAAGAATATCATCTAAAGTCATACAAAAGTCAGTCTACATTATAATTACCATTTCCTTGCTCATTTACCATAATTCGTTCTTTCATATCCGATAAGCTGGTATTGCTTTGAATATCGTATGGCTGATCTCTTTTTCCATCTGATATATATATAATCATAAAAAGCAATTCAGAATAATGATTGTGTTATTTTTCTGTTTGAGAAAACACTGGTTACTTCGTATTTTGGGTTAGTAGTATAATTATGTATGGTAGATGACTTGGCTCATTGAGAAAAATCGATTTTAGTACACATCAAGATGATAGGTAATGGTTATTTATATTCATATTCTTGTTATGCAGTAACTCCAAATAGACTATTGCGCATATAAACAACCTGGATTGTTTTTGGAGAGAAGGAAACACAATGTGTCCTAACAGTTTCATAGAATATTAAGCATACTATAATAATAGAAATATTTATTTTGTTTCATTAATTACCAGATGATCATCTCTGCAGTAAACACTAATGTAGTGGGTAACATAGTTATTATTGTGGTAAAAATACCATAAAATGTGCTTAAAAGTAAGAAAGGACACTAGAAACATGAAAGTAGTGTTTTTACGAATAGGTCTTGTCTCCGTGTTTGAATAAGAGATAAATATATAAATTTTAAAACTAAATTGTTTAGAAGAGTATAATGTAATGAATTGTGCCAATTATGGAATACAATCAATGGATCAAATCATCTAGACGACGAAAAGAAAAACAAGCATAATAGTACTAATAACTAATGATAAATAAGGAAATAGTGGATATAGAGTCATAGCAACACATTTTTACTTATGCAATTAGTTACTTTTTAAGTAAAAGTATGGAGATACAATCAAAATATAGACTCGTCAAAACAGCCCAGAGAAATAAAGTATTTACTCTACGATTACATTAGTAGTAGGGGAATGACGGGAAACACGCGGAAATCCATTTCCTACCAAATAACCGCGGCAACCCGTTTTTTGTTATTTTCGGCCATTTCCTGCCATTGCCTGCCTGGCCACCTCGATGGCCACGACGTGAAACACGCGGAACCCAAAGTCGCCCCTCCGACCTCATCTACGAGAGTGCGCGGCTCAAAGTCGCCCCTCTGACCCCATCTTTGTTTTCGCGTATTCCCGTCAGAACACAAAAAATCCCCCAAAGTCACCCCTCAGACCCCCTCAACTGGTACCTTGATTTTTGCGTTTCATAAGAATTTCAGCACTCATGAGTAAAACACGAGTGCTGAAATGTGCGATATCCATGACTATTATGGTTGTTATTGCTGGTCAATGTGATCATTTTCGACCATTTCTGCCATTTTCTGCCATTGCCTGCCTGGCCACCGTATTGTCCATAACAAGAAACGCGCGGAAACCCATGGCTGCCAATTTCGGCAAATTTCTGCAATGTTAACCTGACTTCCATTGTAGGCCATGATATCCATGGTTGTGATGGGGACAACGTACGTTGCCCCGGGAGGAATCTTCGATTCCTCCCCATTGTCTTGTTGACTAAGGTAAAGAGAGAAAGACCATGCACTACTCCATGCTTATTCAAGGCTCACCTACCAACGGCTCATTTACATGGGTTAATCCGTACAAGTACAAGAATCCCTATATCACTTCCATGACTGTCCTGTTTCATCCTAATGGTTCGATGTTTAATAACGTAGACACGACCAATGTGATTACTAACAGCAATGACGAGACTGTGACAATCCCTGCTGGTTATTACACGATCAGTGAGATCATTGCCTTGCTCAATACAATGTCTGACACGCTGTTCTCCATATCTACTAACGCCTCGTCGTTCGGCTGTATCTGGATTCAGTCTCCACACACCATTGATTTCACAGATGCACCTGACATTCGTGAGATCCTCGGCTTCGATGGACGAACGGTCATTCTACCTGCTTCGTTCAGTGGATCGAACGTGATTGATATCACGCGAAATCGCCAAGTGATCCAGGTCTACTCGACGATCGTGCGATCATCAGACCTGAAGATTGCCAACCAGAACAACAACCTGCTCACCACGATGATCATTGACGATCCAACGGCTGACTACGTGCGAAGTGTGGAAGACGTGTGCATTCCAATGATCACTCGGTTTGATCAATTGATGTTCGTGTTCCGCGATATGGATGGCAAGACGATGCGATTGAACGGCGAATTCGAACTCCAATTGACGATTGATGACGTGTATGATGAAGTGCCTTCATCGATTGCCTCTGCAAACCAGTTCTCCATGATCGAAGTGTTCGGTAATACCACCAAGAAGGAAGTGAAGCTGGACAATCCTCTCTCGTTCGACCAGTGCTACATCTCGTCTGTGTCGTTGTATACGGACTTCGTGTTGCACAACGTGCCGACTGATCAAGTGGTGCTAATCAATGCTGGCAGTACGATTCAAGAGATCGCGATACCACGCGGTGCATACGACATCGAAACGATCATTGCAAAGCTGAATGCTAGTGATGCCCTGTTCGAATTGGTGTATAGCGGTGAGAATGCGTTCCACATCACGGTAGATCACTTCTACATGATTGATTTCACGAATGCACCAGAAATCAAATCGATCCTTGGATTCGAATCGGACATCTTGGTGAAAGGAGTGGATAACCCGAAGCGCTACTACTTGTCGTCCTCATGTAATCACGTGGTTGTTACTGACAGCAGGGAATCGCACATGTTGACATTGCCTGTCGGTTACTACACGTTCTCCGAGTTCATCGAGGCTGTCGGTGCTGAAATGGTGAAAGTGCTTCCACTCACATCCATGACGATCGAGAATGATCATGTTCGCTTCAATGTCCAAGCAGACGGATGGTATTTCAATCGATCCAGCGTTGACACGACGATCGATGGTTTTGGTTGGACTCCATGGTTCAAACTGGCATCAACGGTACGCAATCTGTGCATCGAACGACCTGTGGAAGCTTCGTTCAACCCTGAAAGCGATTCACCACCTGATATGACGAATGATCAAGGTATTGGTGGTCATGCGTACATAGGATCAAACACCTTCATTGCGTATGACTGGAAAATGCGTACGAATGATAATCGGTTCCTGCTAAAGCCTCTCGCGACATACACGATGCGTTTAGCTGATGGTTCAGTACTCGATAGTGGTGAATTCTACATAACGGAAGATACGTCTACCCCGATCAAGATGAATACTCTTACAACCACATGTTTTAATGAGCTCAATGCTCGATATGCGAGTGCTATGGAACTACCTCCATCTCACCAGAATGCGATTGCGTGGACGGTGAATGACAATAGAGAAAGCATGTCATGGACTGCGAAGGACTATGCACCAGAATTGGAATTGCATATCACATCGGAAAATACAGGTGACTTGGTGTCATCGAATGGTTCTTCGATCGGACCTTGGTATTCCAAGGATAGTATATATCACACGAGAGTGTTTATCGATACGACGAATTTTATACTTGGAATACGTGGATATGGCGAAAGACCTCTCACAATCCAACGAGGTCATTATAGCGCTATTGATATCGTGAATATGATCGCTAATGTGATCAATAAGATATATGTAGATGCGTCTCTCGGAAGGTACTTGGTATATGTCATTGCAGATAATGGTGGTCGAGTACGAATGGGATGTCGAAATGGTACAGAACCACGATTCATATTGTTTTGTGATAATCCATGTTTCAAGATTATACCCGGACCATACGCTGAACCAGGTGGTGTGTATTTGTCTTGTTATTTCGAGTTTTATCGCAATTACTACATCAGGATGCCCGAGTTGACATCACCTTACGAGTTTGCGATGGCAAACATCGGTGGACTGAATGTGACGAATATGATCAAAGGTAGTACGTATTCCGATCGTGCTGTGTCGATCGAATTCATACAACCGACACGTGTTACGTATGTGGGGAAGCAAAGCTTCCCCGGGGCAGCTTCGCTGCCCCACTATGTGAGGAATGATGAAGTTGTTGTTCCATCATTGGCTACCTTCGTTGACTGGGAACAATCTGAGTCGTACACGGCTAACACGACGATTCGCTTCCCGTACGGAATGATGACACTGGACGAAGAGGGAAGCAGTGCTTCCCCCGAGACTGATATCACGTACACAGATGACGTTCAGACATTCACGTGGACCATACCATCACGGTTGACACAGGCTGACATGATATGGCACATGAACCAGTGTTTTGACTCGGCTGCACTGGACATACGATGGAAAGCTGAGACAGATGGGTATTACATTCACGCAGACTACGTGTTCTCGTTGAGTGGTAACCTGGGAACCATCGTTCCCGCTTCAGGATCGCAATCGCATACATGGCGTATCCCTTTCGACGATGGTGTGTACTATGCCAACTATGGTCCGATGGTTGCCGAGTATCCTGTCGATATCACGAACGGTCTATCGAACATACAGCTGTATTGCAACATCGTGAAAAGCAAGACGATACCACGTAGCTTGCGAATGTCCCGATGGATAGCTTGTACAAGAATTACTTCTACAAGAATCGCATGTTGCTACCATGTTCTGAATTGCTTGATCGCATCGTGTACGAATTGAAGGACGAAAATGGTGACCCGCTATCGTTCATTGGGAACGTGTACCTGCTAATCGGATTCACCGTTTCAGGAGGAAATAATAAATGAATCTAGTGTTCAATATTGCTCGAACGTACGAACATGAATTTACAAGTAACAATCTCATCAAAAGCGACATGGTAATCGATCGAGTGACTATGAAGGGAGAATCGCCTGGCACCTGTCTTGTCCTTGATCGAGTGAACAACATGCAAGAACGACGACAGTCTCCGTTGGTTGTATTGAACGAGGAGTTTACGGAGAATGCACACATGAACGTCGTGGTACCCAAAAGTCGCAAATGGTCATTCTCGTTGACCGATAAGACCGGTGCAACGATTGCCCTGCCAATGCCGATTACAGTGTGCATTCACTTCTACACAATAAATGAGTCATAATCGTGCACTACCGGTAAGTGTGATTAACCACAATACAGTAATTCCGAAGAACAACGAACGATACCATGAAACGTTCAACACAGTGATCATGCCTCGTGACCTTGTGTACAAGATCACTTCGATTACATGCAAGATCGATACCACTTCTCTCTGGAACATTCGTGCAATGAATGTGGTGAAGGTTCAAATGCTGTCAGGGTTTGAAATGGTCTACAACGTCGGTCCTGGCTACTACTCGATTACCGAGTTATGCCGTGCGATAGCCGATTCCATCCAGGTAGACGATGTGAACCGAGCATACTTGAACAGTGATGTGGCGACCGCTGTTGACCTTAGTGGCGCACCTGATTACACGAGTATCCTCAAGTTGGAAGGTGTTGTTGAGGCAGGTATGGTAGCGAGTGAACCCTACGACATCACGAATGGCATGAGTGTGATCCGAGTGTACAGTAGTATCAATACTCAAACATTCGGTCTGAAGAGTCCGTTGATCGATAACCTGATTCATGTATCGATGGGACTGAACAACATGATCACCTGGGACAACCTATCAATCGATGTGATTGAACAATCGAACCTGGACTACATTGATTGGGTACTGACAGACGCGAATGACCGTCCGATCTCCTTGAATTCGAATGTGTACATCTCATTCACGATATCTTGTTACACCAAAGTAAAGTAGGGGAGACGGCAAAGTCGCCCCACATTGTTCCTCCCATAGTAAATGGATGAATACGTTGCTACAATTCCAATCATTCGATACAAGCCACACAAAGTGAAGTCGAGAAACATGATGGACAAGATGTTGAATCGTTATTTCGATAAAGTCGTTGAAAGTGAATTCAATCAACAACGAATGAGGAGCGAACAATGGCGACAGAAGCGAACCTTGTTTGATTCGTACATGAATCTCTCACCCGCTGAACGTCGTCGTGTATCCGTCTCTGACATGCGTGGATATCAAATGCAGCGAATTGACGATGAGAACGTACTGTTGTACTCATTCGAGGACAATGTGGTCTACAATGCTAAAATTGACAATAAGTTCAACAAGATCGTTGTCCAGTCTGTGAATCACGAGTTGTCTGACATGGAGAAACGAGCTATCTTTGATAATCCATTTGGATATGAGCCAGTATCACCCTATCGTATCATCTTCCCTACGACACAGGCCGGCGAATTACAAATCGTGAATTTGCCTGGTGATCTTGGAACCAGCATCAACGAAATGAAGAATGCTGCTGATGCCATAACGGTTGCAGCTCAACAGATGGGAGATAGTATCAACACAGTTACTCAACAGAATGCAGCGATTATCAATGATTTTGCTGGCTTGCGAGACGATGTGACAGAACATGGTGATCCAAATCGAGATGTCCTGCTGTGGAATGACGATAATACTACGGCATATAAAAGAGGTGTGACACACACTACGAAACGAGGTAGTACGAAATATAGAGATTTGGTATCTGAAGGTCGCGTTGAACGTGATCGGTGGTTGATCAAACCTGAACAACAACCTCTGAATGTGACGAATCAGATCGTACAACAGATGGATGTGACGTCCATTATCAACAAGTTGGATGAAGTGATTACTGTGATGAACAGCTTTGATATCCAGGTGAACCTTGGCAATATTTATAATGCAATAGCTTATGTAGCACAACGAATCAATTTCCTGGAAGATAAGGACAAGGGTTATCCTAAGATGTTAGAATTGTTGGAAGGTGTACAAACAAAATTGACAAATACGAACGATGGAATCAAGTCGTTGAGTGATAAGTATGCTGAAGTGGCAACAAGCATTGCAACAGGAGATGACAATTTGATCCAGAAAATTGGTGACTTGGTAAATCAACAGAAGGCTGTGATTGAGGAGAGTAATAGATATCTGCAAGGAGTCGAAGCTCGTCTCCAAGGAATTGAAAACAAACCTGATCCTCCTGCAATTGCTGATATCCAAGCATGTGATTCTCAACCCAAAGTGAAATGCGAATCGATGGATTGACAGAGTTCATGAAGGCGCAGTACAATGATTTCTTGAAACAATGGCTAGAGCGAAACAGCTTCATTCAGCAATTTGTATCTGCTGAGTTGGCAAAAGCATATGATGAAATCAACAAACGGTTGGTTGAATCATTCAATCGATTCACACCTCTGATTCAAAACGTGTCCAATGAGTTGCAGACTACGAATCAGAATCTGATAGCTCTTGGTAATGCGGTTGCAGAAGAGGGAAAGGCAACTAGGAAACAACTATTGGATGGTACGAATGCTCTGGGCAACCAATATGAACAAGGACAAGCTCAAACAACCAAGTTAATCAAAGATTCTACGGGTGCAATTGTTAATCAACTTGCTGACAATCAGACTAAAACTGGTAACCTGTTGACAAATGGATTCAATTCCATGAGTAGCCAACTCACTGACAATCAGACTCAAACTAACAACCTGTTGACAAATGTTGGTAATGCAGTTGTTGATGGACATGCTCAAACTGGTCAGCTGCTTACTACAATGAGTAATCAATTTGCTGATACTCAGCTGTCCCGGGAACAATTATATCAACAATTGTATCAGCAGAATATGAGAGGAATCCAGAACTTAATGGATGCCATTTGGCAATCATATGAATATTTCCGGAATCAGCCACAAATTCAACCTGTGATTGTACTGGACGGTCGTCAATCTGAAAGTGTAAATGCTAGTTTCACACCTCAAGCAATCGATCAAGTGAATCGAGCTGCAGCCTTGATTGACGCGTATGAAAGTAAAGATTCTAATGACACCAAGGAAAGTTGGGAAAGCGATGATACTCGCGAAGATTTCATTGCTTTCTCAAGTTTGCTTGCTCGCAATTTCAACAATCCTGTTTTCGCTCAATTTGCAAATGAACTTGGATTCTCACGTCTCTTCAGGGCTTATCGTGATCGAAATGAAGACCCCGAACTGATGAGTTTCTTCATACGAGTAGCTAATAGTAAGGATCTAACTCCTGATTATTTGGACTACATGAAAAACAAGATCAAACGGTTTGCTGTCAATGTAGATCAACAATTCGAGCAATATCTGCAAAATACGTACAACACGATCAAGGATATGTTCATTACACAAGGTTTCAATGGCTAATGAATATATCTTTGATCTTCTTTTCACTTTGTACGAATGGGGAAGCGTAGCTTCCCGGGGAGAATGAAATTCTCCCCATACATAAATGGCAATTCCATTCACTGTTGATATATCTGCTTTCTATGGCGAACCCGATTTCCGAGAACAGGATAGTGGAACGATCGTGGATCGACGCAAGACATTGAATCTACACAAGGAACTCGAAACACCAGTGCAATCAAAGCGATCACGAAAGCGAACACCAAAACGAGCTAGTAAGACGAAGGGGGCGATGTACATCGCCCCGGGAGACCATCGGTCTCCCACGAAAACAGCTGGTGCTATTGCTTTCAATGGGGCGACCAAGGACACCGGTGGAGCCATTGCTTTCAAGGAAGGTGGTGCATGTCAGACAGACTCTAAATCCGCTGGAGCACTGGCATTCAATGAAGCGCAATTGATGAACGAGCTGACCGGACTAAAGAAAGGCGGAGCACTTGGTACTCTTGCTGCCACGATCATCCCAGCGCTCATTCAGATGGCTCCACAGATCATCTCGAGTCTCAAAAGTTTGATTAGTGGTAAGGAGGGAGGTGCACTCAAATTCGGAGGAGCTTCTGCTGTGTTCCTCAATGGAATCAACCCTAGCGATTACGACGACGTGTTGAAGACCATGAAAGCCATCGAACGACAAAGTAAAAACATCGAAGTCCGAGGTGGAGCCTTGTACGCCGGTTCAAGTCGTGTTGGCACGTTCTTCAAGAATGCCTGGAACAAGATCAAAGGTTGGTACGACAACAATGCCGACAAGTTAAAACCCATCACCGATATCCTGGTCAATGCTGGCACGAATGCCGCGAACAACGCGATCAACAAGGGTGTGAACTATGTATCCCAGAAGACAGGATCGGACACCGTGAAGCAGCTCGCGAATGTGATAGGTGACATGGCGAAGGGTACGGTGGCGGAACTTCGTTCCGCCGGGACGACGAAGTCGTCCCATTCGGTTAGCGATGTGGCAAACCAGATTCAGGGCAAGGAAAGCAAAGCCGGCACTGGTTACGATATTTCTGACCTGGACAACGAGACACAAGCAATTGAAGTCCAGACGAAAAAAAAGAATCGCATCCTCACAGCCCTTCCATAGAACGAGAACAAGATGCACGAGTCAGTGATTCGAAGGAGAGTGTACTGAGGGGCAGCGACGCTGCCCCGGGAGGAAGCATGGCGGAACGAAGTTCCGCCGGGGCGACTTTGTCGCCCCAAAGCAGAGCTTCCTCCGTACTAAGTAAACTCTACAAGCATGGATACATGAATGTGGATGCTGAACCAATGACTTTCGATGAAGTTCGAAAACTGGCCAAGCAACTCGAGATACCCGACTTCGATGTGATGGAATTGGACAAGTACAAGAGACTGGCCAAAGAGTACAAAGAACCGGCGAATTGCATCATCTGGATACCATTCGAGGATAATAGTAAGCTCGGCCACTTTGTTTCTTGCTTCCGTGAAGACGATGGCACACTGAACTACCAGGACAGCTTTGGCGAGATGAATGACTTCCCGTTGACAGGTACGAACCGTGTGTTCCGTGTGAACAAAGTGAAATACCAGTCGATCTTTGCCAACAACTGTGGCTACCTGGCACTCCTTCACTTGTACACGCACGACGCTGTTGACCCAGCTATCCAGAGGGTGTAAGGGGAAGCGAAGCTTCCCCGGGGGCACGTAGTGTCCCCTACTGTAAGGGATAACTATTGTACTTAAAAGAGTTCAATACATAAATACAAATAGAAATGAAATTCGAAGAGATTGACTTCTACGACTACAAGATTCGTATGTGCCTTGATAATGGTATTCGAATGTACCTTGTCTCTGATCTGTTGAGA